AGAGTGAAAGTGTGCTCCCGTGACTCAGTGCAGCCCCAAAGCACGCTCGCTCTTTCGTTTATCTCCACGCCAGTTGGCTTGTAATATCACGTGAGCCCCACAGAGCTACTTGGAAAATCAGGTGGTAGCTCTAAGCAATAGATTATTTTTTTGTGCATGTAGTTCACCCCTTCATGCACCCTAAGCCATGCCAGCGTTGGGTTTTTTTTTTCCCTCTGCAGTCCTCTGAAAGGTGTGTGCACTGCTTTTCAGTTAGCTTCTGCCGATGTTTGCCTTCACTCTTTATTACAATAACTTATGTAGAAAATATTTTCCTTGGGAGAGTATTTGCTGATCTTTACCCATCTTTCGTAGCACCTGAGTACACACAGTTAATTGAAAACAGCATTGTAAAGAGCGCAGCTTGAGAGCTGATCTCAAAATGCTGTCTCTAACTTTATGGGTGACCTTGAGTAGGTTGGCTGGGCCACAGCATATCTTGGAGCTCACAGTGTGACTTGGTCGGAGCTGCAGGTGGATAGGTCACTGCAAAAAGGGATTTTGTATCTTCCTGTTTCTAAAGTATCATCTTTGAGATCTGCAAAGAAAAAAATAATTCCTAGGGGTGAAATTTCTCTCAGTAGGTAGCACAAGAGAAAGTCTTTAGGTGGTACCACTAACAGATGAGTAAAATGTTTTTTTCATCCTTTGGTCCCTAAACATACTCTCTGTCCATCTAGCTATCTCATCTGATGAACAGAAATTGCAGAATTGACCTCCGTGTGTTTTTGCCCAAACTAGTCATACAGTTTCATTTTTCACACAAACAGAAATTTTGGGGTTATTTAGGTACCCGTGCTCCCATGTGATACTGAAATTACTCAGTGTCAGTATAATTAGCTCAGCTGATGATGACTAGCAGGGATAGTGCTTGTCAGTCAAGGTAAGTGATACTAGTTGAGGCAAACTTGTAATCAAGACAGAAGATCAGTTGCGCTTGCAAGTGTTTTGTTTAGTGGAGACTAGCAGTGAAATAAAGTTCATGCGCAAAAGCGAGGGATTCCTGGAGACCTCTGCCTTCCCTGAGATACTGAAATTATGCTCAGAAGGTTGAGCAGGTTATAAATAGTAACTGTTCTGCTAGGAACTTCACCAGTAATCTTGTAGTGCCTAAAATGACAGTACAGGTGCTTGTTGAATGATTTGCTTTTTGATGTGGCACCTCCTGGTTCCATTTCTGTCCAGACTGTAACGTTCACTTGAGAGTTGCTGTGATCGTAGAGGTCTAGCATTAGAGGTGAATATTTGGATTTTGTGTACATGTCTCTGCCGTCTCATTTCAGTAAGTATAAATATCAAAAATGTCCTTCTTTCTGGCCCAGGTTCCCAGAACACAGGCCGAAGTTCACCACCTCCTGGGTATGTTCCAGAGAGGCAACAGCGCATTGCTCGGCAGGGTTCCTACACCAGCATAAATAGTGAAGGTGAATTCATCCCAGAAACCAATGAACAGTGTGTAAGTATGACCATTAGGGTGAAAAAAAAAGTAAGTCCTTCCTCGTTAAGGAACTCACTGCTGCTCTCTTTTTTCACTCCAGGATATTCACTAGCTGTAGTTGCATTAGCACCTACTAGTACTGCTTTGTTCATGTAAACCACACTTCAAACTTGTTCGTAGTTGTGTAAGTTCAAAGCCTTTGTTGGACTGCCAGAAGCAGTTACCATGCATGTTGGGCATTGTCTTTCCACCTCTGAATGAGCAGTTTTAGTGTGTGTTACACATGTATGCTCAGGTTTCCTATTACCAGGTTCATGTGACCCTCTTGCATTTGAAACTGCGCTCACCATTCAGAAAACTAGGAAGTAAGGCCAAAGGGCGACTTGCAGGTGGAGGCAGAAATGCAGTAGCAACAGCAGAAACTGTTCCTGAAGTCACTTGGGATCAAAATGCAGTACAAGGCTGACTTAAGCTTTCGTTTTCACAGCAGAGTCCTTTGACACCCAAAGCAGTGGCTCAAATTTTGTATGTCCTTAACAGTGTACATTCTAAATAGCTTTAGACTCCTCTTTTCAACTGGATGTCCTCCAGGCAAGCAGTAGTGGACTCTTCATCCTCTTGCACAACCTCTTTCATGAATTAGATCGAACTGATGTTGCCATGTGATTCCTTTTGTGTTGCAGATGCTGGACCCATTAAGCAGTGCGGAAAACTCTGTGTCAGGAAGCTGTCAGTCCTTGGACAGGTCAGCAGACAGGTACAAATGTACAAGCTGGTAGGAACTTACATGCTCAAATAGAAATGCCAGTTGTACTTGCACAAAAGTCTGTTTTCCATCTCATAAATCTTCCTGGAGAGAAATAGGAACTTACTTCCTACCGATACCCGAATATGTTTCTTAGAGAGAATTAACTGCTTCTTAAGGCTGTTTTGTCTTCTGGCAAAACCGTACGTAGTCAAACCGGTGCTTCAGTAGCTCTGTTATAAATACAAAGTTCTGAAGCACGCCGTCTGTGTGGAGCCTAGGCTCTGAGAACATCTGGCTGCAGGGTATTTTAATCTCTTTTAGACAAGGCTCTACTTGTTCATTTAAAAAAACCAACCAACAACCTATTCTAAGGTTACAGAAATAGATCATTACACTAGATTCCTGTGTCCAGCAAGATACAATATTAATTCCAAAGGTAAATAGGGGGGCTTTTCCTTTGATAAAGAGTTTGTCATAGTCTGATGCTCTAGATCTTTTTCTTCCCTTTCTTTGCTGTTGGTGTTGCTTGAGGTGTTGGTGGGCAGCCATAGGTCGTATTAACATGAATAGCAGCTATAGCTTCCCATCACCTGTAATATTTGGCTTCAGCATGTTTTTAAGATTCCTCCAAGCTGATTCCTGTAGGTAGTGTATGCTTTTATGTCAAGTACTTGAGGTTTGGTTTTGTAGCCATTCATTTCCTCCAGTTTATGGAGTTACAAGGAAGCACTTACAGTTAACCTGTGTGTATGCATGCGTTCATTTACTTGAGGGCGGGAACGTTGCTAATTTATTACCTGTCCTTCTCTCCCCTTTCCCTGCCCTAAGTAGAGGATGGAAAAAAAACCTTCCTGGTTACTCCTTGTAGGAATGGGCATCATCTGGGGAGGCTGCTGTTCTTTGTGTAGTAGGAAAGGAATCTCATTTGGGAGTCTGAAAGCTGTATCGGGCTCACTCCATTTACACTGGTTAACACAAAAAAAAAAAAAGGTGCAAATAACATGGCTTTGGCACAAGTTAAGTTTTTGTAATCTCTGTTAAAGGCCTTCTGCCAAACAAGGGGCCATACTTAGGCTTGCTTATTGGGGAGAAACAGGAGGGTTGTAAGGAGTTCTTGTGTTTAGGCTCTTCTGTTGCTGGTAGAGAGGAAAGTGCACAGCTTTCATGAGAGGAACTCTTACCCCTCATGGTAAATCACTGGGGGCAGTGGTCCCCATTGTCCACTGCCTCGTGAGCAATGTGCTGCAAGCGGTACCCTGTCCTGCTCTTCCTCTTAGCCTTGGTTTTAACCTTCTATTTCACATGGCTGAAGGAAGCACTGGGTCTCAAACCACAGTCTGGGGAACTGCCGAATAACTGCCGAACAAACTGAACAGAAAGGATGACTGCCCACATTGGGAAATAGTCTGGTTAGCTGAGGCTTAGCCTGACTTCAGCTTTGAGATGTAGCGTGAAATTATTGCAGGGTCACAGGTTTGGGAATCATAGTTACTGATGTGCAAATGTATTAGCTTGTATTTGAAGTCCTTGTAGGTTTTCCTCCAGTAGATACCAAAACTTATTCTTGCCTTCTTTCTTTAATAGTCCTTCTTTTCGGAAGTCACGGATGTCAAGGGCACAAAGCTTTCCTGATAATAGACAGGAGTTCTCAGGTATGTCAGCGACCAGTATAAAGATTATTTGATCTGGATATTTTCTGCTGTTTGCTGGCTACCCTGTATGTTTGCTGGGATTATATAAATAGAAGAACTGTGGATATGTTGATTGAAAAGTGATGAAGTCATCTATTACTCACCTCTCCCTAAAAAAACGTGCTGTTACATGTTCTAATAACAGAATTTCCTGTACTTTTTGAAGGAGCCTCACTTCTGTCTTTGCATCTCCTTCCAGATCGTGACAATCAGATCTATGACAAAGCAGGGAAAGGTGGGACCTACCCTCGGCGCTACAATGTCTCCATGCAGCACAAAGACTACAACGATGGTGAGTTGTTTTCAGACCTTTGATTCCAGGCTTGAAAAAGAAGGTGAGGCGATGGCAACCTCCAGGGGCGAGTGTACTCCTAGCTGAAGAGTCCGGAAGTGCCCTGGTCCTTGCAATTAGTGCTGGAGTTAATGCTACCGTGTGTGGTGCCACATTTTCATAGCAACCCATGATGGCTGTTTGTAAGGGATTCATTATGCTAATTCACAATGCAAACTTGCTTCTGCATCTTTTAAATATACCAGTGACTTAAAGAGTCACTTCTCTGCTTGTCAGATGGCTTTATGCAAATTAATTTCTCAAAGTTTCGTAAGAGGTGCAAGTTGTCGTAATCTTTGTTTATGGCTTTTATTTCCAAGTCCTGGCACGTTATCTAGAAAGTTATTCTGTCTGTGTAGTTGTTAACAAGCCTCGGAGCTTGTGTGGTAGTCTGTAGATTTTTGCTTTGGAAAGCAAGCTTAGGTCTTGCACTACTGCACTGAGGGCATTACAAAGTGTTCTCTCCCTTCTGCTTTGAGAACGATCCAAAGCTGTACTGAACTCAAGCAGCACCATCCCTGAGCAGTTATATTTTTGCATCTTGTCTGTTTGGCAGTAGATTCTGCTCCCTGGGAACAGACCAGAACATGTTTTTTTTCCTCTCCCTTCTCTTCGTTGCCCAGCCTCCAGCCATTACCTTCCACTTGTAAGCACGTTATTTAAAATTTTTACTTTTTTCTCCAGGCCGGAGGACGTTTCCCCGGATACGGCGTCACCAAGGGAATCTTTTCACCTTGGTTCCTTCAAGTCGTTCCTTAAGCACCAACGGAGAAAACCTGGGCCTGGCATTGCAGTACCTGGACCCCCGGGGGCGCCTGCGGAGTGCCGACAGCGAAAATGCCCTTGGTGTGCAGGAGAGGAACATTCCCACCAAATGTAAGCAGCCACCCAGATGAGAACTGGGGAAAGGCCTCCTGGGGTTGTGGGCAACAAAAGGCTTTTAGAGGTGAACTCCACACCCAATATATTACCGTAGTTTGATTTTAACAAGCCATTCAAAACCACGTAATTGCTTGGCTGTGTTTTGAGACCAATCTGTCTCACCTGTAAGGCAGGTACTCTTTTTCTTCTAAGAATATGCAGTCTTACGCTGGGAGCTGACCTTTACTTTAGAAAGCATTGGAAATCCAGCTAAGTAGTAAAAAACCTGTAAGTTGATTGGATCTAGAGATGATCTACAAGGTTCTTAAAACAGTCAGACAAGCTTATTTATTTTCTTGATACATTGACATTTGTAGTCAGGCTTGTGGATTACAGTTATTTTACTAGTTGAGGGCTGTATTTATTTCACTTGCTCCTTAATAGAACCATTTACTTCTGTATTAAAAGCATCCCTGCATTGGTTTTTGGGGAACTTTATATTATAAAAAAAGAAATGGAGCATAAATCGTTGCTGAACTTCAGATATCCCATACAGTAATTTAAGGATCAAAATGAAGGCATTAATGCAGCAGAGTAAGCAACACACTAAAACACTGACTGGCAGTAAATCTGATTAAATTAGACGTGGCAAAGCTGATCTCTCAGCTCTTGTGTGCTTTCACACTGTCCAGATGGCTGGTTCCTGTCTTTGTTTTTAGAGTTTCTTGTTAGATACAACCTAATTGGATGCATTGCACTGCATGAGTCTGGTAGTATCATGTTCAAAGTTAGAGCTAAAGCACTGCTCTTTGAGTAATATGTTTTGGTGTCAAGTGCAGTCAGGAAAACTGGGCTCAGGTATTAATCTCTGGGTCAGGAGACTGCTGCTTGTGCAATGTGCTCGCCAGCGCGTAGAACAATGAGAACTCATAATTCCCTGCTGACGTAACCTCCTGCTGGGGTATTGGAGGCAGTATCATGTTCAAAGTTAGAGCTAAAGCACTGCTCTTTGAGTAATATGTTTTGGTGTCAAGTGCAGTCAGGAAAACTGGGCTCAGGTATTAATCTCTGGGTCAGGAGACTGCTGCTTGTGCAATGTGCTCGCCAGCGCGTAGAACAATGAGAACTCATAATTCCCTGCTGACGTAACCTCCTGCTGGGGTATTGGAGGCAGCTGCTTTGGCTGGTTCTTGTGTATATTTTCATTAGAG